TTTTGCATACTGTGCCAGACGGGGTATCAGCTGGCCTCCCAGAATGTTGTTGTAATGTAAATCTGCTTTGATATCTCTCTTATAAAGAGAGCCTGTTTTACTCAGAACAGGACGTCCCCCTTTCGAGGGGACGTCAAGTTTGCAAGTATAAAGATGCTTATTGATTTTAATACGAATATTGTGTTGCTGTACGTTTGTTACCTTACTGATTAATCTCTCTAGACCAGTGGTTCTCAACTGGTGGGTCCCGAGGTCTGACTAGTTGAGAACCACTGCTCTAGACCACAGCTGATTTTAAAGCTGCTACGACAGATCATACGACAATCAAGTCTATATTTCGCCTTTTCTTATCTTATTTCTTATCCTTCAGTCGGTTAGTGAGCTCATCTTCAGATCCCACCTTGACACCCACTGCAGTCAGCGTCGTCGTGTCTTTGCCGCACTTCGCCCCAAATTGCTCCTCTGGGTATTGTCCACAGTATTGAGTGCATGTAAGTCGCATTGGATAAAGAGTCTAACTTGTAATGTAAGGTAAAGCGTCTTTGAGCACCTGGAAAAGCACTAAATAAATACCATGTATTATTATTATTATTATTATTATTATTATAATATGCCAAATACATTCTGCTACCATTAAGCTTTGTTAAAGGTCTGACTGCTCAGGTGTATCGCCATTTCAGGCTTCTAATTAACTATGACCCCATGTAGCCAAACCGCAGCATGGTTAGCACATTGTTATTTAAAAAAATGATGCCCAACCCTAACATCTTGAAAAGAACAAAAATGTTCTGCAGAATAATGAAAGTGTAGTTTATTGCTTTTATACCTTCCACTTATATCCCATTATTTGTATGTTAAATTGTCAGGAACCAAACAACAGCAACAGGGCGAAGCAATATGTAAACAGTACCAAAGTGTTGTAATAGTGATAACAAGGACAAGAGTCTTTGAGGCAGCATGATTCATCACTTAGAAAGTCAAATATAGACACTTGAGTCAACAATATAACCTATGGCCTGGTACAGTGATCATTGAGAGCTTATCTTCTAAACCGCCTGAGAAAAGCTGATATTTGTGTGCATGCTGAATGTTGAGACTGCAAACTGCAAGGGTCGTATTTCTACTACAAACACCCTCAGTACACTTCCAAAGGACTGTATCTGTTCGTGTGTGCGTGCTTTTAGCCCACATGTACTTTTAAATTCATGTCAAACACCTTAACTTATGACATTTCTTTTTAATTCTGCCATGTAGCTGTTGGTATGCATGTTGGAAATGCAAAATCACACCAAAATGCAAAGATGATTTTGCACATTTTCTATTAAAGCAATTTGGTTGTGTGTCCATGAAGTGTCTTCTCATTGTCCCTCTTTGATCATACTGTACTGAAATGTTTGGCTTCCTTACAGAAAGGAAATGAAACAAGTTATTAGACTATGGTTCACTATGGAAGAAGCCAAATAAACTAAAACTGCCAACTATTTTTGTAAATAGCATAAATATAGTATTAATTCCATGTAATTGATGCCGTTTTTTTTCCCAGGCACTCAAATGTTTCCTTATTTTCTTTGTTTAATATCATAACTTCTCACTCACAGAACAATATATTTATGGATATTTCCTTGGAACTTGTAAGAAAATGCATGGACATTTCACTATGTTCAGGCATTTTAAAGATATTAAAGATGATTTGAAACAGTTGTGAAAGTAATCCTTAGTTGCAGCCCTAGATGATATAACCATGCCATGTTATAGTTTCATCGTTTTCAAAGGTGGTGTCCAAATGAATGATTCAGAGACACATTTGCATAATAGTTTGCAATAACCGAAAGAGTTATGAGGTTTTGTAACATGTGTTCCCACACAAGTGATCTCAGCAATAATGCCCATCCCTTTAATAACACAGCCTAAAGGTTAACATGTCTTTACTTGCTGTGACTGCTACCCGTTACCCCCCTACTCTCCAAAAGGGAACACACTGTCTTTGTGGGTCAGCAACTCTCACAAACACTTTCCATTATGCTCCTCTCTTGGTATATAATGGTCTGCAACGTAAAGTATAGCACATGTTGCACACGCTAAATGACCCAACACTGCACTCCAACATGGAGAGATTAAAAATACAAAAAAGTGACAACTTACCGACATCATGGTGAAGTTGCTGAGCGTAGTTATGGACTCCAGTTACCCATCCCAGACAACTCACAGCCCGGGCACAGTTGTTGCTCGTGTGCGGTCAAGTATGAGCAATTTCTCTAATGCACCACAACCAGAGCAGCAGCAAGGGACCAAGCAACTCAGTGCAACGGAATAATATATATACAGCAACTAGCCCGAGTTCAGACAATAATAGATGGCTGATGGGTAATGGAGTTTCTCAGAATTCGGACTCAAATGACGATACAAATACATGTAAAATAACGACTCATGCCATTAAAGTATCCCGAGACTAAAATACTATCGTAAACATCGTCCACGTTGGGTATAAATGGCTATTAATTGCACCTTAATCGCCGTTTAGCTTGCATTAGACGAGGAATGTTTGGGATGCCACGCATGCGCATTTCGTGTTTTCCATACTGGGATCATGTGATTGGAGGGGGTAGCCGAAGCCATTCGTAGCCTTTCGTCTACTCTCGTTGTATAACCATAGACTTAGTGTATAACTTGTACTATAAAAGCTAAAAATGATCTGTCTGGTTAATACAAAATATCGCTCTGTGGTTTCTATGAAAATTTATTATGTTAGGGAATATGGATCATTATCCCAGCAATATATTGTTATTTTGGTTACTATTGTAACTGCCTTTTGGTACATATGCAGATTATAGGACAACAGAGAACATGTCACAGGATTCTTGCAGTTGGATGCATATTTTTAATACAAATGAGCAGCTCTTATTTAATAAAGCTTTATTGCCTTGTTTGTTAAATTAGTTTTGGAAGAATCCCAATTACAGAACCACAGAGCTCACTTTGTCCACACAAAACAAACCACAAACACTTCATATATTTTTATTGTTATACTTCACAGTACAACGTTGATTCTGCACTGCATGTTGACATTTTACATTAACTGATTGAGGTGCTACTATTAATATCTGCATACACACCTGTAAACAGTTTAACATGTAGAAAAATACAAAACCAGACACCGCTCATCAATATGTGAGGGACGGGGAAGAAAAAACAAACACAGAACAAGTTGGGGATCATAAAGCTATAGTACCTTTTGGTGGCGAAGAATTAAACAGAATCAGGATCGATAAAGGCAGTGCGAGAGTTGCTGCTGCTGTTGTCTTTGAGATGAGAGGAGTTGCAGTCATTTTTAAAAACAAGACAGTTTTCAGGTCTAAGCTCAGACGTGCTGGCTGTTTTTTAAAAGCTACATTTGTGTACATCAAGAGCACTGATGGAGACAAAACAGGAAGAGTTCTCAAGCACATCCTGCGGTCCTCCACGAAAGACAAGAAGAAGAAAGTCCGGCACAAGCTCCTGTAAGAGGTGGCGGGAGTCCAGTTGGTTTAAGGCATGCATTTACATTAATGTAGAGCCTGCTTTTATAACAGTTACAGCCGTCTTTTGGGCTGATATGTAAAAACACAATCAATGTTAAAATGATCCGCAGTCAGGGTCCAACGTTAGCCCTTTGATTTCTTTTTCATAATTCACAGAATGGACTTGGTAAAGTACACATTAAAAGTCACAGACATTCAGGACAGTAGTTGTGCTTGTGATTTTCTGTTGTATTAGTTTCCCACAGGAAGGTGACTGATGCTTAGTAGGGGGAGGATACTTTTCAAATTATTATATGCATATAAATAAGTATAGGTTCTGCAAAATCAGATATTAAATGAATTGTGTTCCCCTGTTATGGATCAAACTCTTTGTATGTGCAAAACAAAACACCTGTAATTAAAATTAAAGTTTTAAAAATGTGTGAAGTGATAACATTATCAACCTGCATTGTACACAGGCAACAAAAGTGTCTCTACACAGATACAGGTGGTAAAACCACAAATCTATTTGAAAATGTAAGTTTAATTGAAAACAGACAGTAGCCATAAAAGTTCTTTTTGTACACATGTATACAGTAGATTTGCACTTGGAAATCTGTAAAAAGTGCTGTTTTGCGCACATCTGCACAAACTGACATTTCGGAGGATTCTCATCTCACACAAGTAACACTAAAAAGAAAGTTAAGGCAACAAACAGGAGAAAGAACAACATAAAATCTCATTCACACCAAGACGAAAACGATGATGCTATACACTTGCATCACATCTAAAAAAACTCAAATCTCGATTTTTTTCCCCACTTTCTCACAAAGAAAAGGATGTAGATTTACACAGCCGACTGACTTCAGTTGTGAGCAGGGACGTTAGTGGAGATTTTCTCTATGCATGGCTGATTGTTTGGCTCAAGTTTCAGTACGGCAGCTATACCAGAGATGACCACAAGAGGGCAGACAAACACTGTGGCCTCATGTCCAGCTGCAGGAGAAACGAGCCTCATCTGCAGAGACACTGTCCTCAGAATACAAAACTGAAGTCAAAGCAAAACCTCTCAGTTATATGACTCAACGCATGGTGGTGTTTGAGAGATGATATATGTATTTGAACTAATCTAAAAGCTATTTTTAAAAATGATTATAATAATATGGGAGGCGTGTGGCGCAGTGGATAGAGCCTTGGTGTTCGGATCAGGGGAGCACAGGTTCAAACCCCACTGCAGTCAGCATGTCGTTGTGTCCCTGAGACACTTCACCCCACATTGCTCCTGTGGGGATTGTCCACAGTATTGAGTATGTAAGTCGCTTTGGATAAAAGTGTCTAATAAGTAACATGTAATGTAATAATCATGTGTAGTTTATTACTAACTGTGTTTCAAGTTACACAGCTGAGAGGTTTTGCTGAGACATTAACGCCCCTATCTGTATTCTAGTGGCATAATATTAAAAAAGACAGTAGTGCATGCTGCTACAGAGAACATAGACCGATTTTGGAAAGTGGTGTCTCATATTTCCTCAAACAAAGACCATCAGAATAATTTAAGTAGGGGTTTAACTAGTCCAACTAGACAAAACACGGTGAAAATGTCCTCTCAATGTCCATCATGACGACAGCTCTGCCCTGGTGAAGATGAGGACAACTGAGTTACAAACGGACAGTGGTGGACCACGATAACAATTACACAGTTAAAACAAGACAAAAAAAGGCCGAACCCGAGCCTTCAGTAGGCAGAGATCATTTTCAAGGCATCACAGATGCGAAAGTTCGTTGAAAAAACAAAAACAGATTTGACTCCGCCCCTAAAAGAAACATGTCCAATCACTGAATATTCTAAATGATGATCCAAAATACTTCTTGTAGGCACAGTGATGTTCACCCGCTCTAACTGACACTACCTGATGAGACAAGAATTTAAATGAAAACTTATATCATATAAGATTTTATCCCTTTTTTTTTTCTTATTCGAGGACAAAGAGTTATCGTCCGTCCTCTCTAACCCGACGTGTCTCTGTCCCGATTTCTCGAGAGGCGAATGGAAACAGGTGTGGGGGGGCGTGGCCATGATGCTTCATCACCTTCTCTTACTGTATACTGTTGAAAGTGGAGTTGGCGCTACAGCTTTCCTCATAGGTGGGTGGGGGCTCTGTAACACACACGGGCAACACAAATAAGAAGTCATTAATAAAGTTAGAGCAGCGCACATTCTCCAATAATAACTAGTAAAATAACCCTATTAAGTTGTTGCATTTTTCATATAGGATTTCTTTTATTTGTTTATTTGAAACGCTTAAGCATTTTCCACAGATTTTCCTGCCATATTCTATACTAACTGTACTAAATGCAACATTCACTTTAATTTTGGCTTGGATTTTTGGATTTTGAGAAACTGGGATGGTCATTTTTGCATCTGCTTCACTTTGCATGTGTTTGTTTGTGTGCCAGAGTGAAAGTCTTTTAGAAGAACTCACCATGAGGGTAGTCGCAGCTGCTGTACTCTGGAGGGAGGATGAGCGAGCAGGAGGTGGGGATAGGAGTCACGTTTCCCTCGGTGAAGAAAGGTATGGTGGCCCCGGTGGACACACAGAACAGAGGGGCGGAGGCGTCCAGCCTGAGGCCGGGAGGCAGCGCTACCCCGGGGGCTTGGCTGAAGGCGCTGGGGGACATGGTGACCGGCTGCCCCGAGGGGTCCTGCTGAGAGTGACTCTTGGTGGGGAGCTCCTCACTGGCCACGCCCCCTGCACACATCCCCTCCTCTAGCTCCTCCACCGGTGGGGCGCTGGGGGTCACGCCCGCCGCGCTGGGAGCGCTGGGAGGCCTGGGAGCAATGCGGTGGTCCGGAGTGGGGGGCATGGGTCTCGATGGAGACAAGTTCACAGCGATGTTCCCGATGTAGATAGGCAGCGTGACCACTGCGTCCGGAGATTTGAGCGACACCTGTATAAAACAGGAATTATAAAAGCCTCAATTAGATAAACTATACCACCAGATAAGATTGGTGATATTCTATATGCCTCTTATTGCCAATACATCGCATGAGATCACCAAAACCAACAGAGAATTGATTCTGCTAACACAAGGTGTGCCATAGAGCTCCATTGTTGACCTTACACTAATAGAAACACTTCAGCGAGCCACACTGTTGCTCTGGGTGACATGTTCCTTTATTACCATGAACACACACACTGTTGTTTATTGTTACTCAGCTCCACATGCAGTCCTCCAGCTGTAAATACTCACTACATCCTCAAATGAGTATGGATCCGCTGCTGAAAGTAGTCCCCATCAAGACCAATATTTACAGCTTTTTAATGACATTTGAAAACAATAACCTCAGGCTATGGAAGTTAGGAGTTTTGAGAGATGAAGTCATGCATTGTTGGGTTTTTGATGGGATATTAGGACAATAAGAAAATAGTGAATAACACCTTTCTAGTAAACCCAATTATTTCAGTATTAGTAAGTAAATATCAAAATCCCTACACAGTTGTTCAGGTTGAATTAGAAAGGAAAAAATAATAGTCTTTGATAGCTCATGTGGCTAAATGTATGGATAGTTTCATATGGTATTATATGAATTATATTATCACATGTTTGATGGCGTTAGAAACAGGAATATTGACACTCTTAAGAACAGTACTGTGAAAATAAAGCACAGTCTATATGTTAAAGACACACACACTGACCTGAATGAAGTAGTCGATGTGTATGAGGCTACAGCCGGCCAGTGCTGACTGAGGAAGAGGAGGGACGATGATCTGCTCTCTCCACTCCGCGTGTTTTCCTGCTTTCACTCCGGCTCCCTCCACCTCTGCGATGGTCCGCAGGTCGACCACAGGCCGCTTAGTCTTATAGGTTACTTTCTGGTGTGGAAAAAAGCCATACACAGACACAATAGATGTGATAATGGCCTCACTCAAACTTCTATAACTCTCATCTTGAGGTATAGAGACATTGTATGTGGTCCCATATGAAAGGATTAGCTATATTAAGGGTTATCTTTTAAGCTTCGGAGTCCCAGCAGAGATTTCTAATACATATCTGAAATAGACATTTCCAGGGGGCGGTGCACACTGGCTGTGATCGTAATGGTATTAAGGATAGGGCAAATACTAGGAAGACACATCCATTTCTCTTGTTTCCTCATGTATTCTGCCCTCTGTGCACCTGGTTAGAACTGAAGCCATGAGAGGCATTTGAGACTTTAAATAAAAACGGGTAAAATGTTGTATTTATAAGTTGGTTATATTTTTGTATTGGGATACCAGGTGAACATATTTTTTGTTACACAATATATGCACCTTGTCCAGAGTGCAGTGGGAGAGTAAAACTCACCTGGAAGAAACAAATGCAATGCTTTTAATCCAATTTAGAACATGGGTTAGTGATGCACTTTAGCCCCTTGTGGACATAATTAGTATTACAACAAAAAACACAAAATTGTCTTCAAACCACTTCCCTTTCACCTTTTTTAAAACCTTAAACACAGTAGTGAAAACTGATATGGATTATGGACAGTGGCGAACCGTCAGGGCCTTCAAGGTTACCATTACAGTCTTACGTTGATTTGTTTGTCCTTCTCGGACCATGCACTACGCATTTCAGTGGTTTTGTGTTAGAAAATAAAGCAACCAATCAGATCTTGTTCTGGGTCTCTGGGTAGAATATCCGGCGGGGGTTGTGTGTGTCTACAGAAGGTCCAGTTGTGATAGACACGGTTCGCCACTGATTATGGATAACCACTTCCATGCCTCCAGAGCTTCCATAGTTCTGTACTCAATACCTGAGGATATAATATTCATTCATTCATAAAATAACATTCATATTCATTTCATCAGTAATATACCTGTATGAGACTGGCCAGCACATAGCCCGTGTCCTTCCCAGACTTGTTGTGGATCTCAGTGGCTAACTTGATGACCTGCCCGGGGATGTAACCTCTCAGGTCACTGCGAGCTTTCAGCATCAGGGTCCCTGTCTTCACCAGGAGGTAGCTGAACTTCTTGGTGGTCACAGCGTAACTCGGATGCTGCAGAGACAGTTTGTTTTTAGCGTTATTATGAAGACTTAGCTGATCATCTTTTCCTGCTTAGCTCCAGAATATCAGGAAACTCTGTCAGTCGCGACAGGGGAAAAGGTAGACCCTCCAGAAAAACGCGGGCAAAAATCCTTGATTATGCTGGCTAAAATCCTTGATTATGCGGGCTAAAATCCTTGATTATGCGATTAAACATGCGGTGTTTTTATGTGATTTTATGCGGTGAAATTGCGGGAAGTTGCGAAATATGCGGAAAGTTGCGAAATATGCTAAATATGCGGGGGAAAAGAATAACAATTTTTTTTAATATTGGGCTGTCTTATTTATTCTCTCTCAGACACAACCTGCCACTAACGTTAAACCCCTTTACTATTCAATTAAACACATTCAATGTTTATTATGTAAAAGTCAATTGGGCTATTTTAATCACAC